TGGGGATTTTATTCACAATTACCACAGATAGGGATAAATGAGACATTTTAACAATTTCTAATGGATGTTTTAGATTGGAGCATGCCATCTGCTGCTCTGTAATACCAGTGGTTAGGTCTGCTGTAAATTTGGCTTTCTCCCTGTTTTGCTTAGTATCACAGGATGTCGGGGGTTGGAAGGGACCTCTATAGATCATCTAGTCCAACCCCCCTGTCGGAGCAGGATCACCCAGAGTAGATCACACAGGAATGCATCCATGTGGGTTTTGAATGTCTCCAGAGAAGGAGCACTTCATCATAGTCCTTGTCTCTGATCATCTGCACTGCACTGTAATGGTAGCCGTGCTCTAGTTGGAGTCAACTAACAAGATAATTCCCTCCAAACGCTAGATGATGCTGTTTCAGACTGTACCAAGTTTGTCCTATCAGCTTGAGAAAACTCTTCAAGGCTTTACACACATATATATATGTAAATACAAAGAGCCAAATATGCAATGAAAATTAATTATTCTCCACTAATTTAACTTGCAGAGAGTAATGTCTCCAGATCTGGTAGCTTCAACAAATGAGCCCTTTAATAAAGACTTTTGCACTGTGGTTCATGTGTTGCTCATTAAAGGGATGAGAAGAGCTAGAGTTCAGCTTAAAATTCCTTTCAAAGCTGTTTAAACATACAAATCTAGTTTAACATCTATATGAAAGGACTGAAGATGCTAGAGTGTAGCCAAATCCTGAAGAATAAGCATTTTTTAACACTTAGCTGAGTAGTACAGAATTAAATCTTATGAAATACATTTTGTCCTTCCTATCAGCTGTTATCTCATCCATCATCTCATCTGTCCTTTGGTCAGTGTGATGGACAAACTGATTAGAACTGAAATCCAAACAGGAAGACTAGATCTGGAAAAAGGTACAGAGAAGGTCAAGAAGGATGGTACTTGGCCGTGTCTCCACCATAGGTGTTGTTGATGCTAAAAGCTTAATGGACTTAAAGCGAGATGGGACAAGTCCCTTGAGAGCCATTAAATATGACACCTCCTTTGGTATAGCACATCCCTGAGCCACAGAGGGTGTGAGTCTTGCAAGACGTTTTGCAAGGATTTGAGAAGTGATATCTTCTAGATTTCTGGGTGTTACTTTAGTGTATTTCAGGGACTTTTATTGTTTATGATTTGTATTTGCAACTTCCAGTGCATCTGAAATTTACATCTTAGTAATTCCTTATTCTGCACTTCGGGTGAGAAGTCAGCATTAATCCTTTGAACTGAAAATACTTTGTTTCTGAGGATGGAGCTTTTCCTGCACTCGTATATATTCACCAAGCTCTGCCTCCATTTTTAATCAGAAGGCAAATTGAATTCTTTAATCTTTCTTTAATTGAAAGTTATGGAGAATGCTACTTGACATGCATGAAATGATCAGTGAAGTTTTCCAAAAGGAAAGGACTTCTTTTTATACTTTCATCTTTGGTATTAATGCAATCAGAACTATTATTTCATGAATAGAAATTACAATGCATTACTTGAATAGAGTTTAATTGTCTCTAGAATTAAGTGGTAAAATTCTTGAGTAGATATAATTTCAGGCTGGTGCTTTTAGGAATTCAATCTCAGACTGGAGCCAAGGTGTTCTGTTAGATTAAGGGTTCCAGAGTTAGGAATGCTTTTGTATTAGTTCAGCATCTGCCCACAGTAAAGCATTTCTTCTTCTGCGCTGGTTAGCTGCAGTCTACATCACAGTGCATTAGTTCTTGGTAGATTAGCCTAAAACATTGAGCTTAAAATCAGACTGCATAAATGAGAAGGATTCTTTTTTTCATATGTTATAAACTATAAAGTTAACGAAGGAAGCGCAAATCACAGTTGCCTATGCTAATAGAGCCTTTATGACAGAGCATGGAAATTTCAGCTTTGCTCCTGGGTTACTAAGTTAGAACAATGCCTGGCTGCTTGAATATGTTTGCTTTGTGAGAAGGAAGAGTGTATCAAGTTAGATAGCAGTGATTCCCAGAGCTCTTTTTTTCCCAAAGTAAGATTGCAAATATTAATCTTTTACTTTTTTTTTCAAAAAGATTTATAGCGGAAACGTATTTGCAACAACACTAGATGAATTTATGCCTTCACTGTGAACTCTGGCGACTTGCAAACACTGTTAATGATATAGTTGAGTTAGATGTAAAACATGTTCATGTGTATTTAAAATAATCAAAATGTTCACTCATCAGCTGTTGTTAGAAAAACACTCTATTGTGTGAATCATTTCTAGGAAACAAACTCCATTGTAAATTAACAAAATAATTATGAATATGCGTTTTAAAAAACTTTGAGTAAATTTTATTCCTAAACCTTCGGGCCAGATGTCTACAATTGAAAGAAGATGCAAAGGGCAATATATACTGGGATAAAGTAAAAATTCAATTTTGGGCTAGGGTATTTTACTAAATAGCTGAACCTCTTCATTGTTAAGACTCAAATGTAGGGGAATTGCTCTGAGGGAATGAGTATGCATGATGAAAAAACAGAACACCACAACTGAGCTCCTTAGCATAGGCACCTGACATGCTAAGTATTGCTAAAAGTATTGCACGGGAGACTAAGTATAAGTAGGTCGGTATAATGGCAGCGTTATGAAAGATTTTATTTTCTGTGTGAATAGGCTGTTGCAGGATTGGACTACAGACGCTTGGGATCTCTTAAAACTGAGGGTAACGATCCCAGCCTTTCTAAGTGGCTATAACCCTTCTCCATTTTAATATCTTTAAAACGTGTTTTTATTGAAATTGAAAGGATAAGAATCCAAATCAAAGATATATTTTGCAGTTTTCTTTTTTTTCCCTAGCAAGTCCAAGTAATTTAAAGTTACTTCTCAGTACCTCCGTTCAATTAGTAAAGCATTTTAGAAGATGATGCACAGATTATTTTAAAGGAACTATGAAGAACTCCTGCAAAATAATCTTTGGTTACTTAGGAATTTTTTTAAACTTTGGTTAGTATAAAGTGGCATTATTACAGATCACCATTGAAGAAAAGTGCCTCTGGGCCTTAGCCTGCAAAGACTTAATGCGTGTGCTTATATCTAACCATCCACAGGGCTGCCTTGCACAAACTGAGACTATAACACGGTTTTGAAAGATTGAGGAAAAATAAAATAAGTAGCACAGTTAGAAAGATATGTGTTCCCATGTTCAATCTGTCTATTCCAACAGAGATATTAAGGACAGGAGTCAAACTTGACTGTTCAGTAGAGTTCAAAGCCTAATCACAGGTTTCAGATAAAACCGACACAGCAGCGTTCATGGAAGAGGAAAAAGGCTTGCCAAAGCTTGTTCTACAATACCACATCCAGTCTCGAATGCTCATGCCATTTTTTTTTTTTTTGATCTGCCGAATTTTCATGGCTAAAAAGCATCCCAAGAAGAATCTAATACAAACTTGTCAGTATAAACAAAAAAGCCAGAATAGTTCCTTTCCCACAAGATGTTTCCAAGAAGTTCAAAGTCTGAATTATTTTTGTAACTTAGCAAAATGTCTTTTTGCACCTGAATGCTACACATGAAACCAATTTCCCTGTGCTTTAAAATACATGTTTTTCTGAATAGGCTTTTAGATTTCCATGGTATGTTTCTTAAGTCTATCTTCTGATAGGTATAATGAGCTCACTAAGAATAGACAGTGGAAAAGGTCTTTATAGAAAAGCTTGTGTAAGTCTATAAAGAGTGTATTTAAAGCTCATTTACTTCAACCTTACTTTAAAAAATCAGTAATAACTTTTTGAACTTCATTTAACCTTGATCTTGATACAATTTTTGTTCAGAAGTGTTTCTAGAATGTTTCTGTCTTTCCACTTCCTAAAATTTAATTTCAGGTTTTGGTTTTACTGAAATTGTATTCATATTTTTACACAAATCAATTCTCATTTATTTGTTTTTGAGTTAATTTAAAATGTCCGACTGCATCCATCAGTAGAATTTCAGGAAATAAAATTGAAAATCCATGTTACAGCAAAAATATTGCTTGTGCTCTTGAGATACATATTACTGTGGTTTTTTTTTTCTCAAAGGATCATTCATGTAGCTAGCATTATATATGAATTAAAAATCCTAGTATTTCAATGTATTTTGTAAACATAAGTTTGATTATTGAGGTCTGAAATTCAGTTACTTTTCTAGCTGTTGAAGAAAGGATGTTACATTTATGTTTGATGTTATTTTTGATCTGAATGCTAGGTTCACTCGTATGTATTAGAAATGCAAAGTGAATGTGGCCCGTGCCTTCTTTCTTGTATTGTTTGTCTTTGAATACTGAAGGAATGCCTAGAATGTTATCACACCTGAATGATTACATTCTCTTTTTCTCTTACTCTTAATTGTTATTACTACAGTGATCTACTCTATAAGATCATCTTATTTCTTGCAGATGAATGATGCTATGGGATTTGAATTGCCATGGGTGTATTTTGTCAGTCTCGTCATCTTTGGGTCATTTTTCGTACTAAATCTTGTTCTTGGTGTATTGAGCGGGTAAGCATACACCTTTTTCATCATGAAGGCAGAGTCCTGAATTCAGTTGCTATGAAAACACAGGTTATCTTATACAGGTGAGACTTCATTTGTGATGACATCTCTTAATAAACCCCTATTTTTTCATTTAATTAGAATGCAAACAGTTTCCTGTAGCTATCCTAAATAACACAGACCAAAATCAAGAGTTTAGACGTATCAGAATATATTCATGTCCATACTTGTGGCAAAATTATAAAAAGAACTAATAATCCTTCTGCACTTATTTAAATGCTATTTTAATTCATCTTTTGAGACATGACCTCTACAAGCAAATTTGTATAAGTAAAGAAATTAAGCAACTATTGGTTGATTTTAAAAAAACCAAACCTCAGTAAGCCATGAACATTCAGTGTTGGAACCTACGTGATCTGGCACCTGCAAACAGGACTCTGCTGTTTAATGAATGACTGAATCATAACTTATTTCCTTACATTTTACAGGTAAATGATGCAATAGGATGTGAGTGGCCATGGATCTATTTTGTTAGTCTTATCATCCTTGGCTCATTTTTCGTACTTAACCTGGTTCTTGGTGTACTTAGTGGGTAAGCAGTTGAGTTAACCTTGTGTATGCTACTGCTACTTGTAAGATGGCCTCTGCATTTACTCAAGCTTCTCAGTGATGGCTTTTTTGCATGCACTTGAGATTCTTATGTCATCCTACCAGTGTTTGCTCTTTTGACTGAACTGTGTGGTTCTAGTGGCTGTATCTGTCTGACATCATGCTCACCATGCTTGCCAAAAATACACATCAAATGAGGAACTAATCTCCTTATTCTATAATACTGCAGCAGGGAGAAACATTATTTTACACACAGATGGGTGGTGCACCTGTACATATATTGTCCTCTAGAGTTACAGACAAGTGTCCTTCCTTCTCTGAAAGCCCAACTTTTGCTTTTGTTCAAATATCCATAAGATGATTGAGGGGTTGTTTGTGTTTACCACTCATATTGCAAAATACTTTTAAGGAGTGCCTCAAGATCTGTCTTACAGAAAGAGTACGGCTAGGTTACATTGACACAGCGTCCAATGCTTCCCTTGGCATAGAGCTGTGTACTGCTGGGACAACCTGCACCAGCAAGCTGATGTATTTATCAATAATCTAGTATCAGGTTCATCTACTTGTCCATGAGAGGTTGTCACAACTTTTTGGTGGTTTGTGTACTCCAGATTCCAGCCAAGAACTAAAGTGGTGCCCGCTGTAGCTGTATAATGTGGTTTAAAACCGTGGTTTATGGCAACAGTTCGCAAGATTTTCATCGTACAGAGTCCCCTCATTGAGGCTGCAACTCCATTTCCTTTGCCCATTCCTCGTTTCTAACAGACTTGAGCTTGAGAAATTCCAGTTTGTGGTGAAGTTATTTTTTGGCAAATAAAAGATCCTACTAGCATTTGAATATGAAAAGAAAATTAGTACAATCGTATATATTAGTTTTAAGTTATAGAACAAAGTATATTGTTCTGGCAACTGTAGGCGAGCTGTACCATCCGTGTTAGCCAGCTGGAGAGTCTCTCTTGCATAGAAGGCAGCCTGATGCCGTAGTTGATGGTGTCCTCAGATTGCTGATTGTGTGTGCAGCCCTATTCATGACTGTGCCATATTGTACAGTAGATTTGTGAGGAGTTATATTCCTGGAAATCAGTCAATGAAACAAAATTTCCCATGCTGATATTGATAACTGTGTTACAAGAGCATTTTTATCTGATGACTGGTTTTACAATATGTTTTTAAAAACCATAAGTTATTTCTGTGTGATAGATTACTGTTGCACACAGGCACCTAAGGAAAGCATAGCTTTGCCTTACTGTCAGAATCACCGTACAAAGCAGATGTTTAAAAGAAAATAGATAGTGCTCAGAACACACTGCTGGTTTTTAGATTTAATCTCTTCCTTCCAAAACCTGTGTAGTCTGATTTATACAGTCCGTCAGCTTTGTTTTATTCAGGGACAAATGTGTAAAATGTTGCAAAACTAAGACCCTAGCTTTCATGTCACAGCCACAGGGACAAACAAAATAAGAAAGAGAAGGACAGATAATTGAGTGTAGTGCAAGTGTAATTTTTTTCTTCTTTTGCTACTGTTACCTAACGTTGCTGTGTGACCAGACTTCCCGCTGAAGTCATTAGAGGATTAGGTTTTCACAGTTCCTTCCCCTGGCCCTTAAGAAGGTCATACGCAGCAATTAGTTTTCTTCCTGTCAGGAAGGTCTCCTGTGGTAACAGTTAACTAAACACTCTCCTCTTCCCTCACATGACGCAAATCGTTCCTGGTTTCAGATTTTTATGTTTTTAAAAGAAAATTGTGGGGAAAATAACGCCAGATTTGTTATTTTGTTGCACATATTCATTTCTTCTACTGAAGCCTTGGGAATTGAGAGACACCCTCACAGCTGAGCTTACATTTGATTTAATAACTTTAAAATACTTTATAGTTTGCAACATTATGATATTTGTTGAAATATGGAGTTGTCCCCTTGTCCTTGGGTTCCAGTCTGCAGACAAGAAATCACATGGATTTCTAGCTATTGCTTGATCCTAGAGCTATAATGCTCTTCAGAACCCTTCCTGGCTTGCCTTCAATTGCCAGTAAACAGAAGTGACAATGTCAGGTGTGATGTGAGCTCTCCTTACATTCTTAAAGTCCATAGTTCCTAAATTTATTTTCTGGCACAGTGTCACCTAACTGCAGTGTCACTTGAGTGCTCAGGGTGCTTGATGAATTGTTTGAAACCATATTTGCCCTAAACACGTGGAAGAGCCTTCCTAACACTCCAGTTCTTGGTTTTCTATGGCGAAGAAAATTATGCTAGTGAACTGAGATATGCGGTATATAAATATCACCAGTGACTGACATTGAGAGCGGAATCAGAAAGGAAAAGAGACTATTCCTGAAAGACACCTGTGATACCAAACTAACGTTTGGTGCATCAGAGAAAAAGGCGTCCGAGCATACTTGTTTGAAACTCTGACACGGGCCAGTGTGGAATACTGTTACAGTGATTTATTTTGATAATGAAATGCCATTTCTATATCAATAAGACATATTGTTCACTTATTTTCTATTTAGTCCTACCTGTTGAAATTTTATGGGTAAAAATAATGTACTAGTAACATCTTGTGGATGTGTTTGTATTCCCTGGTAGAAAGTTAATATTTTTCATTCTGAGCCAGGCATTGAATATGTAACACATGCATTCTTTGTTTTTTATTTAAGACTTACTAGCTTTTGCATTTTATGCTCTTCAAACTGTAGCATGAAACTTGGTTTATGAGAGATCTACAAAGAAAGTTAAATTTTACTAAACCCATCAGACTTCAAGAATGCAAAAATTATGCCGACTTACTTGAAAAGCATGGCTTTGCATACAGATTTTGAAAGTGGAATCTGAATGCCTAATACACCTTTTCTATATGAAAGTGGTACTTCCTGTAATACCAAGTTATGCTGTGTACATTTAAATCTGTCTGCTCTTTTGACCTGTTTTCAGTTTTAAAATATTCATGCATTCTCTTTGCACTCCTTTGTTACTCTGTGACCATCTGCCCCTTTGTTTTTCTGTAATGCCTCTTGTGCACTGCATGTTCCGTGTATTTAGATACTGTACAAGGGGATGAGAATGATGATTTGGGAGATCTTTTTTTTTTTTTTAGATCTAGCTGTTTCTGAAGGGTGAGTATTTCCTGGTGATGTGTGTCAGTTTTGGCTGATGAAGGTGGTATTCTTAAAAGTCGAGTTCATATTTTTCAGAGCAGATGTGTAAATTAATAGAAATTATGTATGTGTGGAATGTGCATGTGGTAAATATTTTAATTTCTGCATGGAAGCTGACTGTGGAGATTTTGTTCTAAATATTCCTTTGAATAACAAGAATGGAGAGGATTCGTAGGCTTGAGGCAATTCAGCTTTTTAAAAATACTTTTTTACTCTGTATTAGACACACGTGTTATTCACATTTTTCTCAAAGTGAATTCTCAATTGAAAAGGTATTTCATTTTGCAGAACTCTACCAGTAAAAGCATTCTATAAAAAAATTGCAGGTCAGATTTTAGAAACGTCTCCAGATTCACCTCAGGCTCTTGTTCTACCTCAGAAATTATCAAACCAGTCTCAAAAAAAAGTCTAAAAATGATTCCAGCTCCAGAAATCACCTGTACAAATTGTCCTAGACCCAGCTCTAGAGATGGCCCCAGAAATGGGCCCTAGATTCAGCTGCAGAAAGGGATTGTGCCATGAACACCTCTAGAGCAGATCTAGTAAAGGCCCCTGCAAAGAACTCCAGGAAAGGCTGTAGGAAAAGACTCCAGAGCATGGTCTAAATCCACCTCCAGTAAATAACTGGGCAATTGAACCTCGATCCACCTCTGGAAAAGACCTCAAGAAACGGTCTTAGTCCCACTCTGGGAATGAGTTCTAAAATTAGCCCAAGATCTTTGTCTGGAACGTGCTCTAGAGCCAACTATAGATGTGACTCTAGGAAAGGGTTCTAGTAATTGCTCTTGGTCCAGATTCAGCAGAGGACTCCGAAGAAGGCTGTAGCTCTGGCCCAAGGGCAGACTTAGCAAACAGCTCCTCCCTTCCTATTAGAAAAAAATGACTCTAGATCCAGTTCCAGAAGTGTATGTGGAAATGTGTTTGGAAGCGTGGTTCAAAGCATGTGTCTGTTGGTAATTTCGGCAGAGTGAATTTCTTAGCGCTCTAGCTGAACACCTGGAGCTGTCAGCTGATCTTTCACAAAAAGACTGAATTTTTGAATTCTTTCCGTACTTGGAAGTGCAGAGCAAAATGCTTGCAGCTCTGGAGAGCTGCCACAGTTTACATTCAGGTGTCTGTGCATTTTCATTATCTGGGACTCGCCTGCGTTTTGCTCATTCACATTACAAATTTAAGTTTATATGTGTCTCCAAATAATTGTTTTAGCTCCTAGAAATCACAGGGTGATCATGACACACTCTATTTTGATTACTCTGTCTTTTGAACCAGCAGCAGGGAGAGGGTTCAGTCTCTAAGAGATGCCAGAGCACCTTTTTTTTCCCCCTATGCAAAGATTCCTGTGATAATGATGCAAGGATCAGGCAGTGCATCTCTGGGGCAACTTCATACTTGGTGGAATGCCACAGAAATTGCAAGCAAGGAGCTGCCCAGCAGATCTAGCTCTGTGAAGGATGGTGGACTACCTCAGGAGCCTGCTTTCACATATAGCTTTGGTTATACAGCTGTGTAACATATCCAGGCACATGTGTGTAACAGGCATAAAGTGGACCTGTGTTCTCTGAAGTAATGAAACAATAGGCACAGAAAATGGGAACTGAGGACCGGTCTCCAAATCCAGGATAAAAGATCATTGCATATCATGACTGTTGGTACAAGAGACTATGGGTTGAAATTAGAAAGTTAAGTCAGAAATTATAATGCTAATGTTATTAGAAAGTTAACAAACCTAAACCTTAAGAAGGGAATTGAGAAATACACATTAACCCTGAAAGCACCTTTAGAAGTGTGTTGAAAGTTAAAGTAATTCAGCCATGCATTCAGCATGCATT